GGAACCTTTATTCACCTCAGAAATCTAACCCAGGACCCAGAGTTCTTGGCTCAAGAAGTCACCTCCTAAAGTTTCTTAGAGAGGTGAACTCAGTAATCTCTCTTTTTCCCCAGAAGACACTGAGTTATTTGTTCTAAGGCCACAGTATGTGGAAGCCAGGACCCTGGAAGACAAGCCTTATTCTCTATAAACCTCATTCTCTAAATCGGGCTTAGTGTCCTACACCTGTCATCACAACACTTGGGAGGTAGAGGCAGGAGGCTCAGAAGTTCAAGTTCATCCTTGGCTATAGATTGAATTCCAGATCAGCCTAGGCTACAGGAGACCCTGTCTCAAAACAACCAGCATGTCTAGGTGTGGTGGTACATGCCAGCACTCCAGAGGTAGGTGGATCTCTGAGTTTGGGGCCAGCCTGGTCTACATAGCGAGTTCCAGGCCAGCCAGGGCTACATAGTGAAACTTTTGTCTCAAAAAACATCAAACAAAAATACAACAAAGTGTACAAGACTGCCAGGCAGCGGCCCCTGTCCCTTCCTAGCCCTCATGAAACTGGCCCTCAGTTTCCTCTGAATACCAGTGTCTGGGGTGCCTGGGGGTCACCTGGCCAGAGCCAAACACCTAGCTGAACCAGTGGCAGCTCTCTGAAAGCCCAGCAGTCTGTCCTATAAACCAGAAACCCAGCACAGTCTGCCACCTGCTTCCCAACCCTTCAGAGAAAAAGCAATTAAAAAAAAAAGCCTCATAAAAGTTCTTACCCTAAGAAATAAATGTGCCTTGGGGGGTATTTGAAATGGCACTCTAGCGAAATCAAAGTTACTCCTCTGACTGACGTTTGGTCTAATTTTACTTGAAATTCAACAGCGTGGGCTAGCTAGTCCCTATTGAAATGTGGGAGGCAGTAGGGGAGGGATGGTGATGGGGTGGCCGGAACCCCAGCCACTGGGGCTCCTTGGAATGAGAATGTGGCCGCCTGCAGGGCCTCTATCAGGCAAGCCTAAAGAGATTAGATTTTCATAAATTTCAGACAGCGCCAACTCCTAATTCCTCCTTGTGCAGCCAGGAGGCCAGACAGGGCCGGGTGCAGGCTGCTTGTTAACCAGGAAGGACGCTGCTGCCCTCCCCTGGGACAGACCCAGGGGCAGGATGGGGGAGGTTGTCTGGAAACCTCCACTAGGGCTAGCAGGAGCCAGGTGGACTCCGACCAGTTCTCCAGTCTCTGAAGGAGCAGAAGCAGTAGCCCCACCACACCTGTTAACTGGAAGCTTGGAGACAGGTGCCCAGGCCCATTCTCTAGGTGTGGCACCAACCTCTGCTATCTCTGTGTGTGTGTGTCTGTGTCTGTGTCTGTCTGTGTCTCTCTGTGTGTTTATGAGTGTATTGCCTACGTGTAAGTGCACCCTGTTGTGCAGTGCCTGCAGATCTCAGAAGAGGATGTCAGATTCCCTGGGAACTGGAGTTACAGATAGTTGTTAGCCACCATGTGGGTGCTGGGGATCGAACCTGGGTCCTCTGCAAGAGCAGTCAGTGCTCTTAACTCCTGAGCCATCTCTCTAGCCCCCGAACACATGCATCTTAATATCTGGGATCAGAACACAGGCTCTAGCCCATGGTGTCATCGAGCAGCACCTGGGACAAACCACAGTGGAGACCACAGCTCATCCAAGTTGCTGCCCAGGTGGCCCCCTCTGTCCCTCCTATCTTTGGCTTCCTTTGTTCTTTTTCTCTTTAATTTTTTTTTGAGACAGGGTCTTATGTTGCAGACCAGATTGGCCTAGAACTTGCTATGTAGATCAGGCTATACTCCACCTGGCAGCAATTCTCTGTCTCAGCCTCCCAAGTGCTGGGGTGACAGACAACAGCCACCATGCCTGGCTTCCTTAACCTGTACTGTATCACAAGAACCTGTTCAGAGACCATGTCCTCAGCTCCATCACGGGCAGTTTGACCTCGATGTGGCAGCATGACTTTGCGAGTCTGCCCAGCCTTGCCAGGGATGGACCCCAAGCTGCACCTGGGCTGGGAAAATGACCAGGGGATGCTATCTTCATGACAGGTGTTTGATGGGAAGGACAGCCGCTTGCATCTATATGTCGATCCTTTGCCATGCCGGCACCCCATTTCTCTTTTCAGAAGAGTGTCCCCTCCGCCTCGCATGTAAAGTTTTGGGATCATGTCTTGTTTAAGTTTGTGGCCTTGGAACTAGGTAGCCACATTTGTGTGTACAGAGCCCTCTCCTCACTTTGGACGTAGTTCTGCCACCTGCTAGACACAGACACTCAGTCTTCTCTACCCCAGCTGGGCATGCAGGAACCTTGTCCACTTTCCCCAAGTCCCATCGGCCTCTGCCAGCCCTGCTGCCTCAGCTACCGTCTCAGCAGTTCCCTGTAGGCACCGGACCACCCCGGGAGGAGCATAGCAGCCTGCCTGAGTCTCTCAGGCTGCCAGGGCTAGGGACAGGAACAAAGGCAGCTCACACTTACCCCTCCCTCCAGGCCTGATGTGGGCAGAGACCCTGGAGACAGCCAGAGGGGGTGCCCCAACCAGGTGAAGACAGCCAGAGGGGGTGCCCCAACCAGGGTGAAGACAGCCAGAGGGGGTGCTCCATCTAGGGTGAAGACGAGCACACAGGGCTGAAGGGGAGGAGTTGTGGGCCCTTGCGGGGAGTGTGGATACTGCACAAAGCAGGCCCTGTGTCCCTTGAATGCTACACTTTATCCTGGGTCCCAGCAACCAGACCTGAGTGCCTGGCACATTCGGGCCTGGCCCTGGCCCCCTCCCCAGGCTCTGTACCTGAGGGTGCCTGAGTGCCCGGGGCAGGGGTGCGCAGCCTTGTTGGGGCATGGAAGAGTATCTTCAAAAATGTCGTAGTTCACCCTCCTCCTCACCACCCTCAACCTGGCTTCTTCCAGGGTGAGTTGGGGATGGGCCCAGCCCCAGCCCAGGTTGGATCCCAGCTCTGAACTTGATCCTTTTCTTCATGGTCCTGTTTTTCGTCTTAACTTTCCACCCTTACAGCTTCAAGAGGGACTGAGAAAGCGTGTGTGTGTGTGTGTGTGTGTGTGTGTGTGTGTGTGTGTGTGGGGGGGGGAATGCTGAGCTGGGAACAGGGCTGTTTTGACATGGGGTCGGGGTGGGGGTTCTGGACACATGCTCAGTAGCATAATGGGTTCTCACTAGACCATATCCCTCAGCGTCCTTACGCTGGGGCAACCTGGTTGAGAAGCAGTGACCTGGTGGTACAGTGGACTGGTAGTCCTTGTGAACAGCTGGGAACTGGGAAGGCCAATTTTGGAGACCTGTTAAGGCTGAAGAGGTGGCCCAGGACATAAAGCCAGTGAGCGGCTCTGAGAGAAGTTTCTACCCATTTGAGGAGAGGCCTGACTCTGCCAGGGTTCGAGGTCTGGGGACCCTGGAGGTGGCCTTCAGCCAGCACCTTCCCCAAATCTTGTGTCTGGTGGGCACAATGCTTAGTCAGTGACCTTGCACTTGACCTTGTGGCCCTGGTGTCCCTCCGTCATCACCTGTTAGCAGCAGATGACACCCCTTGGAAGGGCGTCCCTCCCTCCAGTCCCGGGGAGGTTTATCCCTGTGCTGCCACCTCCTCAGCCAGGGCTCTTGGGCCTGGCTGCTGTCCTCTGCCAAGTCCCCTGCCTGCTGCTGAGGGCTCTGCTGGCACCAGCTGCAGCCAGCTGCCCAGCTTTGGCCTCCCTGAGTCAGCACAACCACCCGCTTACACTGGATCAAAATAGCCTTCTTCCTTTCTCGGCACCCAAGGGCTTTTCCGCCTTCTAGGGTAGAAACAAACCAAAACCGGGGAGGGGGGGTGTTGCGGGGGGGTATACCTAAAACTAGTGAGAATTGCAATATGCACAGCACCTGGGATGTACGTGTCTTCTCCAGGACAGGCCTCAGACCCTGACCCTCTCTGGTGGGGCATTCGACAAGCGCGTGTGTGTTTGTGTGTTGTCTGTGTGTCTGTATGTGGTGTGTGTAGGAGAGTCGCTGTGTTTGCTGGGGTGTTGTTTTTGAGGTTTGTAGCAGGGCTGGGCCTTTGTTTGTTGGGGTGTGTCAGAGTACCAGGGTGTGGCTTCCTAGGCTGTATGTGGGAATCTTGGGGTGTGGGAGTATTGGGTTTGTTGTTTTGGGTGATGTAGGAAGGTTGGGAATTTGGTGTGGAGGAGAAAATTGGGGTGTATGTAGCAGTATTGGACTGTTTTGCGGGGGCATAGGAAAGTTGGAGTATTTGGGGGTCTATGGGATTTTGGGGTTGTGGGGGGAGGGTTGGGCTGTTACTTTAGGGTATGTTGTTATATACTGAGGTGTGTAAGAGGGTTGGGGTCTTGGTATGTGGGAGTATTGGCATATAGGAAAATTGGGCTGTTTGGGGATGTAGAAGAATTGGGATGGGGGGTATTGGACTGTTCTGGTGTTATAGGAGGGTTGGGATATTAGTGTGGGGTATAGGAGTATTAGGCTGTTATCTGGGGAGATATAGGAGGGTTGGAATGTTCCTTTGGGGAGGGTTGGGGTATTTAGGTATATGGGGGAGGGGTGGAGTGTAAAAGAACATTGGATTGTTGCTTTGGGCGTGAGAAGGGAGAACTGTTGCTTGCTGGAGTGTATGTGGTTAGGGTGTCGGAGGGCACCACATTGGGCTTGGCTTGTGCACATGGGTCTTCATGTATGTCCTGTGCTTCTCCACACCCTGCTCCAGCATCCCCTCTGTCCACACAGCCCCCTCTTCCCACTCCTGTCCCCAGGATCCCCATAGGCAAAAAGACCCCAGCCACAGCAGCTTGGGCACGGTTCCTTTCTGAGAGCCAGGTCTATGGTCAAGTCCTGGGCCACAGGCTGTGTTCTAGGCGGGGTCTTTGAGCCCTCTTCTCCCGTGTCTGAGTCCTTAGAACTGCTGGGTGGGAGCCCTCCCCCGGCCCTCAGGTGGGTGAGTGGGAGCCCTCTGGTTGGCCCTGAAGCCTCACTTGTCCCTCTTTCCCATAGCGGAGCTGGAGTTTGTGCAGATTGTGGTCATCGTGGTGGTGATGATGGTGATGGTGGTGGTGATCACCTGCCTGCTGAGCCACTACAAGCTGTCAGCGCGCTCCTTTATCAGCCGGCACAGCCAGGGCAGGAGGAGAGATGATGGGCTGTCCTCGGTGAGTGACAACAGCCAGGGCTTCCAGTGACATGGGATGCCCTAACAAAATACTCACGACATGCCTACCTGGGCACCTGCAGCAACCCAGATTCAGGCCAGGAAGCCCACATGGCCTCTTCCTCTAGTTGACAGAGTGGGAACTGCCAAGTGGATCTGGGGGCTCTCACAGTCTGAGGTACAGGAGGCCCAGGAATTATGGGAGGGACTGGGCTGGAGGGAGGTTAAGAATCTGAACCCTCAGAGGTCCTGACTCTCAGCTAAGAAAGGACTTAGCACTGCCCCTGGGACAACAGCAGACAGACGCCTGCTCTTCCCAAGAGAACAGAGACGGTATGAGGTGTTCGTGCTGTGAGCTGTCTACCTCCACTGCAGGGGCTGAGTAGGGACACGGTTGTAGGGAACAGGAAAGCAGGAGGCAACGCAGGATAGACAGCTAGGACGGGCAGTGGTCAGTCAAGCCTCAGAGACAGTCAGAAATCAGACTTACCAAGGCAGAGGAACAAGTAGCTGGTGCTTGACTTGGTGCCCACCAAGACAGAGGTGTGGGAAAGATGCCTACAGCCCTGCGGCCGTGACCTAGATACAAGAGGGTGGCCATCCTGCTCTCGCCAACATGCTGCCGGCATGTAGACCATGTGGTCAGAGCGCTTTGGGAAGCCATGGTGGCAACCAGACACCCAAGAGGCTCTCCCGATGCTGAGTGTCATCCTGGCTTCTCAGGTGTGCCAAACCAGCAAGGCTACCCCCTCTTGGGTGATTCAGCCTTGGCATAGTGAGCCAGCTCTGCTGGCTGATGGCACCCCATCTCAGCTGTCTGCTGAGTGTGGCCCTTGTGCCCAAGCACTCCTGACACAGGGGACAGCAGGACCATCCCAAGGCTCTCATCAGGAGGCAATAGGTTAGGTACAGACTGGGATCACACACCTCTGGCTTTGAGGGATGCCAGGGAACTGTGGCTAGTGACTGCAGGTGAGCTGCTTTGCGTCCCAGCCTTCTATGGAAACACACCACTCAGAGAGGGAGGAGAACCAAATACAGCCCTTGGGATCGGACTTCAGTATATCGGGAGACTCAGCCGTCCTCAGAGCCAGAGTCTGAAGAGCTTACGTGTTTGCAGGGCCCTAGCGCTCCTGAGTTACACTGTATAACTAGTTCTAGGTCATTTATATCATCCTGGGGATAGTCACCTAGAATAACTTAAAAATACCCAGAGGATTGCTTAGGTTCTGTGCGTGTGCGTGCGTGCGTGTGTGCGTGTGTGTGTGTTTATAAAGGGCTTGAGTGATGTTGACTTTAGAACCTTGCAGGAACCTGAAACCCATCCTCTATAATACCGACAGACAGTTGCCCTGGCTGACATTATAAGCCTATGTTTTGATGCATTAGTACTTTGAGCATTGGGGGCTTTCTGAAACCCAGCTATGTCCCCTCAAGACTCCAGAGTCAGGGCCTAGAGGGTGAGAACATGCCCTCTGACTGACACCAGGCCCCTTTAGGAGGGTCTATCCTGCCCTTGGGTGTTCGTCCTTAACAGTGACAGGGAGGCAGGGTTTCTTTGGCTCACAGTGCAGGCAGGGCAGGAAGCCACTTTGAAGGATGGGCTGACAGCAGCAAGGAGGAGCTAGCCACGTGTGCGACCCCAGGAAGGCAGCCTGTCTCCAAGACGGAGCTCACCAGGTGCTGGGAGGATGGTGCTAGACAGGCCATGCTGGGCAGGGCGCCCTGGTTTGGGGGGATGCCCCAGGCTGGCAGTGGTACCTAGAGTAAGGGCAGAGCCAAGACAGGACTGGCTGTTGCCTGAGCCAGCAGGGCTGTCCCTGGCAGGTCTGGGCATAGCTGCTTACGTCAGCCCAGCTTTAGTGCGTCACCAGCTCATCAGGGCAAGAGCATTAGCTCCTGCACCTGTGACAGAGACACAGACACCCCTGACCTGAGTTCCAGCCTGCATCCTGAGGGCAAAGCTGGCACCTATTCTAAGGAATCCTGCCTCTCATGCCGAAGCTCACCTGGCTCCTTTGCAATCACTGTCACCCAGCAACAGGCAGAGCCATCAGACTGGCAAGTGCTCTGTGTGCAGCACCAGCCATCAGTGACTAACAGGGCTTACTCTGCTTCACAGAAGACAAACTAGGGCTCAGAGAGGTGGAACACTTGCCTGAAGCCACACAGTTTTCATGATGGTATCCTATGAAGAACCCACAGCCCATTTGGAGGGATGCAGTTAGAGTGTGTAGGATGTGCGTGCACACAGGCTCTGGGTGGAGGTGGCCAGGGAAGAGGAGCTGGGCCTGCAGGCAGCTCCTAAACTTGGCTGCTGACACAGGCAAGATTCTAGTCCTTATCTCCAGACAAAGATCAGGGCTCAAAGAGAGTCTCCCCAGTGACTGCACAAGCCAGGAGCCACCCCGGTAGGTAAACAGGGAGCCTGGGGAGACCGGAGAAGGTGATGGCTCCCCCGGGATTCTCTTTCTTCCCAACATGGTGCATCTTAGAAGTCTCCAGGCCTTGTGACCTCCCAGAAGACCTAGACACAGCTGTTGTCTGCCTGGACTCAGTCCTGTGTCCCACCTAACCACGGCTTCTGGCCATGACTACTTTTTACAGTAACCCTGGGGGTCCTCTCCTATCTTTGTGTGCATCCCACAGCTCCCCTTATAGGCAAGTCACCTTTCCCAAGACCCAGAATAGGAGAGGCAGGTGAGAAGTCTGGGTGAGGCCAGGTCATCTCCCCCTAGCTGTGGGACAGTGGCAGGTGGTTGCCCTCTCTGAACCACTTTCCCATCTGACAAACAGGGTAAGAAAAGTGGTCAGAGTGAGGGTCAAGTGCAGGGAAGGACCCTCCTACCTATCCATCCCTCAGCATCCCTCAGCCGTCCTTCAAGTACTTGCTGAGACAAATGGTCCCTGCCTTCAACTTCTCATTGGCCCCTCACAGCCTGTCATTATTCCATTGGCTGCATCATCTCATGGGTGGCTCCTGAGGGGTTGTTGTTTATGAACCAAGAGTTCAGCTAAGGCCTGGATGGAACTGTGCTTTGTCCTCTCATCAACCCTTGGTCTGGGTCTCCTGCTCCTCACAAGAGTCAGGCCTGCTAGAAGCTCCTGCCCCAGGCCCAGAGGCGTAGTAGTTCAGATGTAGGGATCAGCCACGGCAGGCACCTGGGCCTGGATGCACACCTGTGACTTCAGGGGGATACACAGAGCTTTCCTAGACTTGAGTCAGACTGTGTCCTGGCCAGAGACTTTCTTTCACAATGTCAAATCTGTGAGTCCCTACTGTCTGCCTGCCAGAGGAAGGAAAGATTGCCACTGTAGTGCTGAGGAGGCAGTCAGACCCCCCCCCCCCAACACACACACACACACACACACACACGCACACACCCCTAGCCTAGTGAGTTGAAGACCCTGAGCAGCCAGGGAGTTGGAGGTTGGAGGTACTTGCCAAGCAGGCCATGATTCTTAGTCTGGAGTTGAAGTCAGAAACTTTTTTACTCTGATCCTTTATGGAAATAGGTAATACAGCTGTGTGTGGGAGGGAGAACTGAGGGAGGGTCTAGGAGATGGGAAGAGGGCAGCAGGGACAGGGAGCTGATAGGAGAGACCCACAGGTCTGACTTACACAACTTGAAGGTAGCCGGGGCCATCCACTCTTTGAGGAGCCAGACCAACCAGGCATGATGTCCTGCAAGTGCGTCTCCAGAACCTCCTAGTGGCCATTCGAGGAACTGCGGCTCAGTTCCTGCTGAGGCAGAAGAAAGGGGGGCCCTGGGGAAGCTGCCGCCCATAAAAGTGTTAGGGATGTTGCTATTTACATATTGCCAGGCTTAGCAATTGGTAGGTTTTGAATATTCGAGTTTATTGCTCCATAGTTACATCTCAAAGAAGCTAAAATTAAAGAGACGTCCTTTCCTTAAGCCAGGATGCTACACCTAGATCCATCCAGGGAAACACAGATCTACCAGTCCTAGCAAGCAGTCCCTCTTTCCTGGGAGGAGCTGCTTCCCTGCAGGGATCCCACAGCAGAGGGCGTCAGCTTCATGGGTGACAATTGACTTCATGGCCCAGAGCCCGCCACACAAGTGGCTGCCAGTCTGTGTTTACTGTTGATGATGTCAGAGAGTCTGCGGGGACCTGGGAACTGAACATCCACAGAGACCTGTCCCCACAGCTGACCAGTGCAAAGGCCCTGTGGCCCATGCCTAGTCTGCTGAGACATGCCATACCTGGGGGCGGGGTGGCACTTTCTTATGTCCCCTGAGGGCCATGTGATTGTGACATTCATGTTAAATTCACTAACTCCTCCAAGAGAGTATAATTATATGTTCAGATGTGTTAAATATCTTGCCAAGGTCATGCAGGGGCACAGGAGGAAGGCCAGAGCATTTTGGGCTGTCGTACAATCAATTAGGGATTCACTCTAATGTCTTGGAAAGCTGCCTGTGGGCTTTGAGAATGGGGTGTCCCACAGATCAGATACACATTTTGGAAAGCTTCACTGGACAGCAGCAGGAGCTGGGTGAGGGGTCAGCAAGAAGGCGGATGTGTTTGTGTCCATGAGCACATGGTGGTTAGGGTGGAAGAAGAGATGTGGATAGGCCCCAAACCTCACTCTAGGATGATGGGTCTGTGTCTAAGCTGGGTGGAACATTGGATCCCCACCTCTGGCCTCTCCACTGACCTCTGTGTCTCTCTCCCCTGCAGGAAGGATGCCTCTGGCCCTCAGAGAGCACTGTGTCCGGCAGTGGGCTACCAGAGGTAAGACTGAGCCCCGCCTTCACTCCTGAACTCCAACACTGGTGGCTGAGATGCCCCATACCCTTCCAAAACCCCTGCCCTTGGAGCCTGGAACCCTTGCCCAAGATCCCAGCCCCTGACTCCTGGAGGGGGCGGCACCCACAGTATCTGCAGCAGGGAGGTTTGGGGGTGGCCCTGTTTCTGGGAGCTTCTAGGGGTTCACTGGGACATCCCCTCCTCCACTGCCCATGCAGCTGAGCCCATCTCAGGCTCTGAAGCTGGGGTACCCCATCAGAGTCTGCCATCCTCCCTGACTCTATTCTATTCAGCCTCAGGTCTATGCCCCACCTCGGCCCACCGACCGCCTGACCGTGCCCCCCTTCACCCAGCGAAGCCGTTTCCACCGCTTCCAGCCCACCTACCCTTACCTGCAGCACGAGATCGCCCTGCCACCCACCATCTCCCTGTCTGATGGGGAGGAGCCCCCACCCTACCAGGGCCCCTGCACCCTCCAGCTGCGAAACCCTGAGCAACAGCTGGAGCTAAACCGCGAGTCTGTGCGCGCACCCCCCAACCGGACCATCTTCGACAGCGACCTCATGGACAGCACCATGCTGGGTGGCCCCTGCCCCCCTAGCAGTAACTCGGGCATCAGTGCAACCTGCTACGGCAGCAGTGGCCGCATGGAGGGGCCGCCTCCCACCTACAGCGAGGTCATCGGGCACTACCCCGGCTCCTCCTTCCAGCACCAGCAGAGTAATGGGCCACCGTCCCTGCTAGAAGGGACCCGTCTCCACCACACACACATCGCCCCCCTGGAGAACATGGAGAAGGAGAAACAGAAAGGTCACCCCCTCTAGGAGTGGGGACCGGAGCACCTATAGGCAACACAGCAAAAAAAAAAAAAAAAACAAAAAAAAATAAAAAACACTCCGCACTTCCTAAGAGAGAAGAGAGGGGGACAGGGGACACATAGGCCATGCAACGTGTGCCACCTCTCCTCTCCATGTATAAATATTTACATGTTCTGTGTGGTTTGAATGCAGCTCAGAAAGCTTGCCAAAAAAAAAAAAAAAAAAAACACAATTTCTTTGTTGAGCCGTGTCTTGAAGGCAAAAGAGAAAAAAATTCTCTCCAGTAGTCTTTTTGTTCTTTCTAGTTGAGCTCTGTGCGTGAATGCTTAATTTTCTTTTGTTTATGATGGTTTCACTTAACTTTAAAGACATATTTGCACAAAACCTTTGTTTAAAGATCTGCAATATTATATATATAAATATATATAAAAGAAGAGAAACTGTATGTGGGAGGCAGGAGTATTTTTGTATTAGAAGAGGCCTATTAAAAAAAAAAAGTTGTTTTCTGAACTAGTAGAGAAAAAAATGGCAATTTTTTGAGTGCCAACTCAGAAAGTGTGTATTACCTTGTAAAGAAAAAAAACCTACTAAGCAGGGGTTTAGAGCTATTTATATAAATGTTGAGATTTTGCACTATTTTTTAATATAATATGTCAGTGCTTGTCTGATGGAAATGTCTAGCATGTGTGTTGAGCCTTGAAGGAGCGTCTGAATGAAGCAGAGGCCTGTCCCCTCGGGTCCCAGAGGGGCCAGTACAGGAAGGGTGGGCTCCCTGGGGCCGCTCGCTTGTGAATCGATGCTTCTATCTAGCCAGGCTGTGAACAGTTACACATTCCCTGCGGAAGGGGACCCTCATGGTCCCTCTGGATTGCAGATGAGTCAGGACCATCCCCACAGAGGCACCAAGTTCCAGGTGGTGGCCTTTGCCTTTCCCGACATGAAAATAAACTGTTACCGAAGGAATCTTAGTTTTTCTTCCTCTCTTTTATAAAACCAGAGGTCCCCTGGGAAGGGGCAAGGCATACCCCCAAAGCCAAGGCCACGTCCCGTCCCTGTTGCCAGGGGATCTGGCTCCTGCGGGAGGGGGTCGGCCAACTCCAGCATTACCAAGCCACGGTCGGCACAGTGCTGGCAGGTAGGAAAGGTCACAGTGAGTGTTACTTGACTTCATCCTAGTTCCCTTTCTGTATTGATTTTCACTTTGAAAGCCAATTAACAGACAACCCATATTGAAAGGTGGTAAGCTGAGGTCTCCCTCGGGAAGCCCAAAAGGTTCACACTGAGAAAGACCAACTAGTACCAGCCCAAGCCTTGGGTTTTAGAACTCTTGACCTTCTCCTGACGTGTTCATTCGCTTGGAAACAGTGGTTTCTTTGGATGTGCTAATTTGTCTTTTTGTCACACCTTTGTGGGGCTGGGTTCTCATTTCCCATGTAATTAGTACTTGGGGTGTGTTGGGATCCCTGGGGTAGGGGGGTCCCCCCAGTAGAACAGGCTCATGTGAATACAGGGGACAGAGGTCCAGGGTCTTGCCTCCTCTAGTAGATCCACAGAAGTGACCCCACCACCACTTTCTACCCCACATAGCTGTTTCCATTTTCTGCAAAAAGCTAAAATAATTAATATCTAAGAGGCAATAACTTGTATGCAAGTACTTTTTTTTGTTACCTGAAAAGCAAGAGTGTTTGGTCTGTTTATACACCTGTTTTAAGTATATGGTACCCCTCAGAACGACCCCTCCACCCCCAAAGCTCTGCTGACCTGCCTACTAGAACATTCTAGCACCTGTCAGCAGCCAAGCCTCCCTCTTCAGGAGGGCTTAGCCTGAAATTGGCTTTTCTCTCAGAAAGTTCTTTCAGAGGTCACAAAGACTTTGTTCCCACAAAGATGTTATCGTGTGTCTTTGCTGTGTGCTCAGCGTCCAGTGCCTTACAGAGGAAGCGACCACCCTCTAGGCTCAGGGCTGGGACACTCCTGGGCAGGTGCCTCACTCCTGGGGCCAGTCCACCAAGGGCTATTGCCACTGTTTAACTGTCCCCATCATACCTTGTATCCTGGCACTCCCTCCCCACTGTGGCTGTTCCCTGCTTGAACAAGGCACCCTACTGTTGTGTGTGTGTGTGTGTGTGTGTGTGTGTGTGTGTGTGTGTGTGTGTGTGTGTGTGTGTGTGTCACCAAAAGTCAGGCCCAAGTGTCCCCACCGTCCTCTTGAGCCAAACCATTTGACTGGCCTCATATGGACTGTTGGTTGCCCAAAAGAGAAAGGCGGAGGGGCATTGCTGGCCTTATCTGGCTTGAGGACAGAGCTGCCACCCCCTCCCCCATAACAACCTGGGACTGAGGTGCAGGATGCCCATTGCAAAGGTTCAAGGTGAAGGACTTGCCAAGGGCAGGCCACATCCCAAGAAAACCAACCAACCACGTCCAGGTGTGAGGACTCCTGCAGGAACCAGGCTTTCTGCAGCCTGCTTGGGACCCTGAGCCCTGGCTGCACTGTCCTATATATGCTGGACCACCCACCCCGACCCCCATCAACTTTACTTTTCCAGTATGAAGTTAGGTAGCCTGGGAAGTGGCTGGCTAGAGGGGAACTAGGTTGGTTTTAGGGGGGATCTGCTGCTCCATGGGGTTGAACCCCACATTAGTCTCCATGTTTCCTCCAGAGAAACCCCATTCCTTCTGCAGAGCCAGGGTCCACACGGCTTGGCAAGTTGCACACAAGCCTTTGTAGATGACTTGTTTTTTGCAAGAAGTTAAAAAAAAGGGACCTTTCCCCCTACATACAGCAGGAACCAGGGCCGGGCAAGAAGCAGATTCCTTCTTCTGTGTTAGCCGTGCTGTCACCTGCATGTCACTTTTTCCATGTGGACCTCAGTTCCCAGAACCATCAAATATCCCAAGGACGAGGAAGAAAGTGTTTTGTTCTGTGTTCCTGGCACCATGCTTCAAATGCCGCTGCACAGTAGAGCCCATGGGCTGTGGGCCGTGCCACTTGTGTCCCCTGACACCCCACATACAATGTCATGCTGACCTGGCTGTTCTTACATTCTGACCCTGGTAGCCTCGGGAATCTCTCTTGGGCACGCTGCTGTGGAGGCTGTACCCAGATGCCCTTCCCTGGGCCTGGAAACCCCGCTTGTGTATGTCACCTTTGGCACCAGTGACGGCATTCTGAAAAGCTGCACTACTTCACAATAAATTTTACAATCTTTGAATCAAGTCCTCTCCCTTATTTGCTGTGTGGGTCTTCTGTCCCGCCCATGCCCACCCTCTGTAGCAATCCTGGGATGTATGGGGGAGGCTACACAGGTGCTAGGTACCTTTAAGCAGTTCACCTTCTCTACCTAAGTCCAGGTGCTGTAGCGGGATGCTGGCTCCAGCAGATTTTTCCAACAAAATGGGTGGTGCTGGGGTTAAATGAGTTGGCCAAATATTGTGTACTTTTCTTCCCTAGTGGGAAATCATTGCTCATCATTTCCTGATAAAAGCTCTGATAAGGTCTGCGGGAAAGAAACTCTTCAAGGGGGTCATCAGAAGTAAGGCCTGAGACATGGGCTGTGTGCAAGACATCTGATAAACACAAGCCCTCCTCCCCAGGGGAGGTTAAGGAAAGACTGGAATAGGGAGGAGTGAGTTGGGTGCAGGCAAAGCCCAGCCCCAGGCTGACCCCACACTCCCTGTGGAGAGCTGTGAGGTTAGCTACACCCATGCAGGGTGGACACAGGGGCCTCTTGATTCTCAGTGCCCAAGAATGCAGCAGAGAGAAGGTTCCAGAGGCTCCTGAGCGCCCCCTCCCCAGGTGTCAACCCTCAACACAAGGCTCGTGGAAGCTGGGGGCTGGGCACACAGATCCCTAAAAGGGTTTCAAGAAGGTTTGAGTGCAGCCCCCAGGGTACCCCATATAGAAAGTTTTGTTTACTTCATATGGGATCATCTTTAAGACCTGACCAAGGTTTTTAAAACCATTAACCGATACAGAGGTGGAAGCCCCAGGTGGCCACCATTTGACCTTAGCCTGGGAAACTTCTCAGAACTTGGAGAATTGCTGCAGGTTCCTGATGGCAGGATCCCAGGTACTAGAGTATCCAGAAGAAGCCAACTCTTAACCCCAGTGCTAAAGCCCCAGAAGCCTCCTGTGGTGAGCAAGGGGATTCCCTGCACCCCCCAGCTGACCCTCACTAGAGTCCCTCCCCCACAGACCTTCAGTCACCTTGTCTGTGGAAGTGGTTGTTGGCAGGCTACTGGGGTCTGCCCCCTAGCATCCCCACACACATCAGCCTCTCCTGCTAGCACTTGGGGCTTCTGTGAGCTTCCTGGGGACCATTCAGAGACAGAGCTACCCCAACAAGCACCCAGGTCAGAGCCAGAGCCTGGCCCAGCTGGAAAGCAGCACCTTAGGTTTGAATCAAGGAGGATATTCTCTCCCATCAGGTGCCACGTAAGCAGATGGCCAAGTCAGTTCCAGAGTGGTGGCTGATGAGGGCACAGCCCATGCTGACTAGACCTCCTAGATGTCCAACCCAGCACCACATCCCCACATTGGCCACCCCTCGTTGGGCATGCCACTTGTTCAGAAGTTTTTTGCGCGAGGTTGGATGCCAGGCACTGAGTTGGCTGTGGGACAATGCCTGACCTCAGGATGACTCCATCTGGGATGAGGATAGGGAAAGCCATTGAGCCAGATGGAAGCTTACAGAAGGCAGAACTCGGAGCTTCGAGTCCTCAATGCTGTTAACTTCCAGTGAAGTACATCCCCATAAAGCCATGTGAATGGAAAATACCACACGCTGGACATAGCTGTCCCACACCTGACCTCCCCAGCATCCTTGCTTGGCCAGGGTACCCTAAGTAGGCTGGAATGGCAGCAAATGATGCAAGGCTACTCTATATTCAAGTGTGGGGTATATAGTAAAAGAAAACAAAAGCTAGTGGTCTATCATCCCAGCTCTGGGGAGGTGGAGGAAGGAGGATCAGGAATCCAAGAGGAGCTTCAGCTACCTAATGAGCTGAAGACCAACCTGACCTCCCTGAGACTTCACAGAAACAAAAATGAAATCAGTCCTGGGTTCGCTCTCCAGCACCTCATAAACAAAGTGTGGCAGCGTACCCTTACAATTCCAGAACTCCAGAGGTGGAGGCAGCAAGATCAGGAGCCCAGAGTTATCCTAGGCTACATAATGAGTGCAAAACCAGCCTGGGCTACATGAAAACTGTCTCAAGCACACACATAACAAGTAAAGCCAGTTGGC